AGGCCAGCATTCCCTGCCTGCCGAGCCAAGGCAGGTCCCTTCCTCAGCCCCTGCTTGTCTCCTGACCCGTGTCACCCAACATCTGCTTCCCTGGCCAGGAGCTCAGGAGCTCTGGAGGGCCATGCTGCATCCCAGCCCCTGGAGAGCAGTTGGGAGGAGCAGAGGAGCCATCCTCAGGCACAGGCTGCCTGGTCCCCAAGGCCACCAGGAGGCGCAGTCCTGGCTCTGTGCCCCTGAAGAGCTTAACCCTTCTGGGTGCCTGAGCCTCGGTGAGGCCAGGACGCCTCCACCTTCCCACCGGTTCTAGTCATGGAGACACCATGCTGACCATCATCACCAGGGAGCTGGTCAAGCCAGTGGATGTTTACAGCACCGCTGGAAACACAGTTCCTCCTGTCACAGTCCCCCACTATCTGGCATGGTGGGGACCCTGTCTGGTCTGCAATACAGCGCTGACAAAGACTGTGAAGCTGGTGGCAGGTGGCATGTGAAGAGAGTACACCTGCTCTGATTTCAAGAAGAAAGACTGGAGAACAGGACACTGCCACCAAAGCCACTTGTCTGCAGGCTGGGAGCTTGGCTGTGAAGAGGTCCCTGCTGAACAGCTCAGAGCTCGCAGGGCCAAGGCCGGAGTGAGAGCCATGGGGCTGCCTTAACCCTTTCTGGTATGTAAACGTTGTTCTGAGCACCGTGGTTTGAAAGGCACTGGCTAAATGCACCTGCTGTGGCCCGGGGTACTCACCAAACCAACCTGGGGGTGGAGACAGTCAGCCTGTCTGGGGTGAAGGGTGCAGCAGTGGCCAGAGAGGAGCCCAGAAGCTTGGCCTTCCTGGCTGGCATGTTCTCTCCTGTAAGAGGGTGGCGCAGGAGGTAAGGAGATGGAGGGGTCATAAGGGGCAATATCTAGCCCTCATCCCCTCCGGCTCCTTAGAGAAGCAGATTCTGTCTCGGGCACAAGGGAGGCTGTCCTGTCATAGGATGAAACACCAGGAGACATCATCTGCCAGGTCCTAGAGCTGAGAGTTCCTTGCAACATGACCCCACAGCTCAGAAACACATCTTACCAGGATAGGAGGGCAGTTTCCTGCAAGCAAATCTACTATTCAAAACCCATGATCTTAATCAGGTGGTTAAACTGAGAACTGATCACTCAATTTACTGATAGAGAACTGTTGGCTCACCCAGCTTTATTCTGGAGGCCCCCAGGTTTTCACCATGAGTCACGAACAACATAAAAAGAAAGATACATTTGCCAGAAACTCTCAAATTTCTGTTTACAAAGTGTCCGCTCAGAGCATACAGGGAAAGGTCCTTGCAAAGGGACTCAGACCTTCACAGGAGATGACAGTCTAAATAAGAATACCAGACCAGTGACAGTGACAGTGAGATTCATTCTCTGAGCCCCAGAGATATTGGCCTTAGAAGCTGAGATGGATGACAATAAACCAGGTACTGGGGTGGCCCTGAGGTGGCCCACAGGATGGCCAGGTGAGGGGCAAGAGCAGCTGCAGACTGCGATCACCTTGTCGCTCCCACAGAACGGGTTCTACGCAGCAGGGCTTTCCCACGACACTCCTGTGGACGTGTCCCTCTTGACCTTTTTTCAAGGTAAATGTTAGCTTCTGTGCAGCTAGCCAACAAAAACAGTAGCTGAGAGAAATGCCCTTGAAAATGCTTCCATCAAGAGACATTCAGGCACTTTAAATATATACTTTATATCGACCTTAATGAACACTTTGTTTCCTTTGATAACTATGATTTCTTTATCTTCCAGCAAACAAGGTCCAGTACTTTTTACTTTTATTTGGCAGACTACGGGGCTGCTCAGTGGCTCCTCCTCCAGCAGCTACCAGCACACCCTGGGGGCAGTCGGCGTCTGGGGAAGGGCAAGCACACCCTGGGGGCAGTCCAAGGGCCTATTCCTGCTTTTGCTCTGGCACCACCTGCTCAGGTCTCTGTGTCCTAGACGTAGCCAGTGCCATGCAGATCTGTGAATGGGACCCAGGACACGTTCACCAGGGGCCGGGAGGGCTCAGAGGGAACCGGAACAGTAAAGCCCTTCTTAGAAATGCTGTGTTACCTTCAGTCTCCCAGGCAGCACACTCCTCTGTAATGCGAGGCTCGCCTGCCTCTCAAATCAGTCTACTTAGAAGGGCTGGGTGTTCCCAATCTAAAGCTCCAGGGTCTCTAACGGGCCCTCAGATCCTGCTTGCTGTAGGGTGTCCTTGGTGCCACCAAGACTGAGGGTGAAGAAAAGCCTGGGGGGATTCCAGGTCCCCCACTCCTTACAACCCCCACAGCAGCTGTCTTTGTTTTATTCACTATATTTACAAGTCCTTGTATTTAAAAAAAAAAATACAGTATTACCCTGGCCAGTGGTTGGGCGTCCTGCCAGGCACCCAGCGGTGGTCAGTTTAATTCCCAGTCAGGGCACATGCCCGGGTTTTGGACTTGATCCCCAGTAGAGGGTGCAGGAGGCAGCCGATCGATGTTTCTTTCTCTCCATCTCCCTTCCTCTCTCTCTAAAATCAATAAAAACATATTTTAAAATAATTTTTAGGTGGAGTATAAAGTCATTGAATCTAAAACAATTTGATGTTAAAAATCAAGAGGATTATTTCAAAGGGTGGGTGGACTTAAGCTGCCCCTGCCTCAAGGGAAGCCCTGCTTGTGAAATCTTCAAATGGCAACTTTGTTAAAAAAGAGAAAGCAACTGAAAAAAACATCATTTAGTCGGTTCTGCCTGTGACCCAAAGCCCAAGAACATAGGTGTCCCTGTGCTCTCCCCGAGGGACCTGCGGCTGGAGACCAGTGTCAGGCAGCCCTCGCGGCCTCCGCCTGGGCTGCCATTTCCTCGCTGCCGGTTCCAGCCTTGCTTTTAGCAGCACCCACACCACTACCCGGAGCAGGAAATGGGCCGCTTGCTCTGCGGATAAGAATTCCACTAATGCTCTAAGAATTCCACCGATGCGATGCTCGCTCTGACCTTAGCTAATTCCAGCGTCATTAGCACTGCATAGGTTTCAAAACCACCTCCATGCTAGAAGCAGTGATGGGTGCCTTCTGCGCCTCCCTCATGGGCCGTAAAGTGAACAGGATGATGGGTTTCTGGCCGGCCAGCCCCTGGCTGAGTAAGGGCCAGACGGGGGAAGACAAGCCTCTCATCTCCAGAGCAGAGCTCAGGCATTGGCTTTCTAATCACAATGGACTAAAAGGTAAAAATATTTACATGTACACAACTCACCCTCTGTTACCTAGAAACGAGTTTGTTTTCTCACTAATTAGTTTCTCCATCATCATTTAAGAAGTATGGTAACATCTTTGATCTTTGTTTCTTTAATCACATTAGATCCTAGAGGACGTTCCCTGAGCCTGGTGCCCTCCTCACCTCCACCTGTCTCCTCACCTCCACCTCTCTCCCCACCTCTGATCTCCCATAGCAGATGCAGGAGCAACACTGATTCTCTCTGGACAGCCCCATTGCAGGCGGCCTCCTGAGGAGAGTTAGGAGACGGGATGTGGGCAATTAGAGAATTAGGAATGACTGAAAAAAATCTATTGACGAGAGCAGGTGAGACACTTGTGGGGAGACAGGTCTGGCCTGGCGAGCCCCACTCTCAGTGTGGGGTCCCCCTGAGGGACAGCAATACAGAACCTAAAGTGTTTCACCCACTGGCCATAGCAGGACCACACACTGAACACTGCATTTAGCAGAGGAGAAATCAAAGCAGTTTATTGGTGCCAAGCTGGGAAACCTGTGAGCTAGCTCTCAAAACCCAGATCTCCTGATGATTTCTAATCAGGGGCTTTAAAGGCAAAGATTGAGTGTTAGGGGCTAGGGGTCCTGGGCCAAGCAGATTGCTTTGGTCTTGTGCAAACGCCCGTGGATTCCTACTCTGATTAATTTAGTCCCTGATGTCTGGTGTCTTCGTCACTGTGGTCGGGTGATCTAACCAGGCCGAGGAGCCATGATTCTGCAAAATATCCCATATTGTGCACCAGTGACGCTATCTTTAGAGCAAGAGGCAGAAACTAAATCTCTTGTGACTATTTCATTGTTTAAGCTATCATTGTTTTGAGCTTAACTAGCTACATTTTCTATCATCAAGCAAAGTGTATTTTTAAACATTTTTCCTGGAACCTTACTCTTTGACTGTAAGCTATGTGGCAACCAAAGCACATGAAACATTTCATTAAAGCTGACACATCTCTAGACTCCAGGATCTCACTGCCCGTTTCGGAGGGACCTTCTCTCCGGCCTGCGGGCAGACCCACCTGGGGAGCTGCAAGCAAGGGAGTCAATGAAAACTGAGCAGAAACCGCAGGTCTGCCGGTGGGAGAAAGGGCTGATGGGCCCCATGGAGGAGTTCAGGAGTTAAACCTGGGTATCAAGATTCCAAAACGGGCAATTGGGACAGGTTGCTCAGGCTGCCTGTGGATGCAGGTTTGGGGGCCTGAGTGGAGATGGCCTCTCTGTAGCCCCATCTCTAGGAGGCAGCAGCACATCCAGAGCCCTGGGACTCTGATGGAGGCTGACCGTCCAGCACGAGGTAGAAGCCTCAAGAGGCCAAGACGGGGGCAGGTGCTGGCTCGCCCTGCTTGGCAGGAGGCCTGCAAGTGGGCTCCGAAGGGGCCCCTCCATCCCGCTCCAAGACACCGTGACAACCCCTCACTGCTCACTTGACTGAGGCACTTTGGGTCTGACACACAGGAGTGAATTTTGCCGTCACTTTCTCTTGGTCACTCAGCCCTGGCTTCACTCTGTGGGTCTTGGTCTGCAAGGAGGGGCCTGAGTGGGCAGCACCTCCTTGTCAGGCCGGCGGGAGAGATGAGTAAGTCTCAGAGCCAGCACACACGCAGGCTAGGCCCTGGCCTCCCCCACGTACCCATCACGCCTGTTACAGTCTGTGGCCTGAGGACTTCGCACGCCCCTCTTTCACTAGCCCGTGAGTTCTCGTCATGGACACAGCCATCCCGTTTCCCCGAGTCCCAGGGCCGGGATGTCTGTTCACCTGACAGTGAGGAAAGTGGGCCAGAGGTAAGTCAGGGGCCTGTGTGAGGGCAAGGCCACTGCGGCCCCAGAGGGTGACTTCCCAGGGGCCGAGGATGGCTGGGCGTTGTGGGTCTGTCACTGGTTTTCTGAGAAAGGAGCAGATGCCCGTCCTTCACTCTCTGCCCAGGGGCCACCAATCTGGCTCAGCCTGGGTCAGGAGGATGCATTTTGGGTGCAGATGGGAAAAGAGAGGTACAGTGTGGACACAGGGAGCCTCAGGGGAGGGTTAACCCTTCCTTCCAGACTCCTGCAGAGTCCAGCTGCCTGGGAGGTTTACTCATCCCAACCCTGCTGCTGCTGGGTGGGGGCTGATGCCCAGGCTCCTGGGTGGGGAAGAGCAGGGCCGTCTGGGGCTTCCCAGCCCTGCAGAGAAGCCTTGTTCCTCCAGCCTGCATGCCGGTACTGACATGTACCTGTGCACACACGGATTTGAATTCATTACATGCACGTGCACATGCGTGCCCACATACACACGTGCGCACGTATATTGCACACACATGTGTACACACACACACATCTGTCCCAGGTGCATTCTTCGTCTCTCAGCTACCCCCAAAGGAGTTTGTCCTGATTTCCTGTGATGGAACCATACACAGTGTCCAGCGTCTCAGCTCTCGGGGAGGCTGGGGTCCTGTAAGTGGGCAGCCCTGCTCCCAGGACTGGGCTCTCTGCGGCGACCTGTGCTTAGAGGGGCCAGTTCTCAAGGCTCTGGGGCCTCACCCCCTACAGGACTTCGGGCATGTGCACACCCTGGCTGTCCTCAGTTTACCCACTTGTGCAATGAATGGATGGATCAGAGCGGTGCCAGGGACCACTGCAGCTCTGTGGAAGGAGAGAGCTCACTGCCACACTGCCCACGTGCTGGCTGGTTTTCCTGCATCCCTGTGGTTTTCTGACAAAAGGGGGCATGTTAGTGCCTGAAATGTTCTCACCTCTTGCTATTTTTGCAAAAGGCCTGAACGCAATTGTTAAAAATAGAAATAATGAGGGAAAGCAGATTCTGACCTTGAGTCACGAGGACAGAACGGGCTCCCTGTGTCCTCTCGGCTGGTGATGATAAATGACCGTCGAGCTGCCTTTGTCCTCAGCTAATTTACCCTCGGCCACAGAGAGTTTCTGGGTTTCTGCCTTATTCTTTTTTTTTTTGGAAAGCTGGAAAGGTGCTTCAGACCTAACAGCCCTGCCTGGTCCTTTTGGGTGTCCTTTGCCTGGCGCTGCTGTGGGGGCTTGTCCGGGTGCTCTGGGCTCACACCACTGTGCTGGCTGGGAGGCAGCATGTGCCCAGGCAGGACCTCCCGCCTCCCTGCTCCCCTGAGCTGTGCCCGCCTCCCTGCAAAGGGACAGGGAAGGCGGGGATCCTCCAGCACCCTTAGGAGGCTGAGTGTCAGTGGAACACAGGCCGTGCTCCCCGGTGTCCCACAGGAAGGTGGTTTAGGGCAAGACCATGGAGCTGGCCAGACCCCAGCACCTGGCTGCCGGGAGTCCCAGCATCTGTTGAAGACGAAGAGGAGTTTGCATTTGGAAAGTGCCTTTGGCATCTCTCCCACAGTCACTTCTCCAGCCCAGGAAGATCTCTTTCCACGCCTCCCCCGCCCCCGTACTCCCTGCTCGGTGCTGTCACCTCTCCTGGCCAAGAGGAGCCCCTGAGCTCCGCAGGACCCATAGCGAGAGGGTGCTCAGGGGGGCTGTCACCACCACCCACAGCACCAGAACTGAGCTATGGCACTGCCTCTGTCTCCGTGGATTTAGACCTCAGTGTTTTAAAATCCAGGGTGCAGCTTGAGGCTCACAGCCACACCGCGCTGTGCTGAGTGCTGAAACAGCACGTTTTTTCTCGTTTCAGGGAAAGATTCAGGAGGAAACAGACTAGAGGACTTTCTGCAAGTTACAATGTGTGGAGACGGGAAGGTGCTGCTGGGCCATGCTGGAGGCGCAGGAAACCTGGCTCCCGGGATGCATGGGCCTGTTCTAGAGATGGCGGTGGGCATGTTTAACTTTTCATCTTTATGAGTTACTCTGAGGCAGGTTCTGGTCAGTCCCCAGAGCTTCCTGAGATGGTGCATTTCTATCCATCCACTGTGGCCCCAGGCCACTCAGGCATAAACATTGAAGTTGCTGCCCTTTCTGCCAAGTTTTTGTGTACATGCAAGATTTTCAGTGTGTCTCCTGCTGGAGTGAAGAGGGGTGTGTAGCTCTGAGTATATGTGGTGCATGCACACATGAACATGTGTGTGTGTCTGTGGGTAAGTGTGTAGGCATGTTACAACATATTTGCCTTTGAGTGCATGTGTGTATGCACCTTTGTGTGTCACATGGGCATTTATACACGTGTTTTGTGTGCACACACAGGCATACACACGTGTATCTATAAAAGCGTGTGTAGGGGGGTGTGCGTGTACCTCCCAGGTACTCAGCTGCTCCCTGTGCCCTGACTCCCTCACCAGGCTCCATGGTGACGTTGGCTAGTGAGCCTTGCTGAGGCCCAGTCCTTGCTGCACACCTGCTGCCAGGACAAGGGAGGGGCAGCTCTCGCAGTCTCAGGTAAGCAGAAATCCAGACCCCGGGCACTGCCTGCACCACTTGCGCTGTGGGTTGAATATTCATCGCCCAAGTTAACATACTGCAGCCTGATGTCCAGTGAGGTGGTGTGAGGATGCGAGGCCTTTGGGGGTGGTCAGGTCTAGAGGGTGGAGCCCCCATGATGGCCTAAGAAGAGACTCCCAAGAGCCCTTCTGTCCCTGTGGCAATATGAGGACAGTGAGAAGACAGCCTTCTAGTGACCAGGAAAGGGTCCTCCCCAGACACCAAAGACACCGGTGCCTTCACCTGGGACTCAGAACCTCAAAACTGAGGAAGAAATGTCTGTTTAAGTCTCCTGGTCTGTAGTATTTTTGTTACACAGGCCTAGCTGACCGAGACCATGTCTTATGCATCCTGCCTGAGTGGTACCAGCCTAAGACCACCATGCTGGACTCATGAGACCCACAGCAGTCAAAGGGAGGTGCAGACAGTGGAGGTGATTCCCCTGGGGTGTGAGCAGGGACCAGGAAGGTAAGGTGCAGCAACGGGCCCACAGGGGCAAAAGGAGATGAGCACTCCTGCTTTCTGGTCAGTGGTGTTAGAAGTGGTTTTGTTTTCAGATCAGGGGGCTCCGTAGGCATTAAAATAGCATCAGCCACAGCAGAAACAGCCCTGGACCCACCTCCTGGTGCAGGCTGGACTCCACACCCTGGTCTGCAGCCCAGTGTCCCTCTCTGGGGTCTCCACAATCATGGGGCAACATCGGCTCCAAACACCAGAACCCATGGATGCACTGTGGCTTCGTCAGCTGTGTGGTTGGAGGGAACATCCCCGGGAACTCAGGAATAAGCATCGTCCCCACAGGAAGCACCCAGCCCACTGGCATCCTACGGTGTTATGCAGCCTGAGCCATAGTCAGGGCTGAGCAAGTCCTGATCCCTGGTGCAGCCTGTCCTGGGATGACCACATCCACTGTCAGCAACATGGGGTCTTTGCCAGGCTGCTGGGGTACCACAATCCTGGGCTCCCCCCAGTCCACCTGCAGAGCAAAGGCATTTGGGCAGGTCAGGGAACCCAGCACTGGGCAGAAGGGCCTGAAATGCAGGTGTGGGGTTTCCTGGTGTCACCTAGTGCTTGGTAATCATTGTGGGCACCCAGGAACGTCCATCCTCTGGCTCCTGCCTCTCCACTTCTCACTCCGACATACTTGTCTTCCAAGCTGCCGAGGCCTCTGAAAACATTATTCAAACCTTTGCACCTGAATTCTCACATGACAGAAGGGCTGAGTCTCGATGAAGGGAGACAGACCATCAAAGAAGGCTACACTTCTCACCGAGGGGTCAGAGGCAGCCTGTGTCCCACACCCCTCGGGGTCCCTCTGCCTCCTGGCTTCTGGGTCATTCTCTGCCTGGGCCCACCCACCCATCTTGACTACTGGGCAGCTCAGCTGGGCCCTGGGAGCTGGCCTCTCTGGTGGGACCTGGCGTTTCTTTCCACTTTTGAAGCAGAGCAGACAAGGAACCACAGTTGGTTTCAAGGATATTTACACCATATCTCTCTAGGCCAAATGCAGTGGTTTCCTTGGACTGAGAAATCAATCCATCTTTTCAAATCCCGTTTCAGTACTGGGGAGGCTTGGAGCAGATCTGGGGCAGATGTTGTCCAGCAGCATCCAGAGGGTGAGCAGAGACAATGGGGCTCAGCCTTCACTGTTCACAGGGGGCCTGTGCTGGGGGAGCTCGGACAAAAGGGAAGACTGAGTGTGTTCATTTCCTGAAAAAGAGAATGGGATTTGGATAAGAAAGTTCATGCAGGTGGCTGAGGAGGGACCAGAGCCTCCTCGCTGGCCTGGAGCTCACACACCCTTCAGATCCACCGGGTCAGCACCCCATTCCTGGGAGCACCGCAGGTTGTTTGGGCTACAGTGAGAGAGGGACCCACCTCATTACGCATCATGCTGGGATCCACACCATGCCCGACCTGCCGCTCTGCCCGCAAGCACTGCTCAGGGGCACGTCTGCCAGGCGGGCACCCCCACAGTCCCAGGGCCATCACGATAATGCAGAGGTGTGATAAAAGCCATCTGTCATCCATAAAACACAACGTCGCCATTCTGCAAAGCCATAAGCCATCCTGGGGCTCAGCCAAGAAATGGCCTATAAAAGTCTGAATAATGACCTCAAAGCTTACTTTCGATCTAAATTATAATCTAGGCAGCTGTTTGCAGGGTTATCTGTATGCAGTCATTTTCCTCCCACACTGTTACTGAGCTCGGTGTCTGCTGGCCTTTTCAGCAGCTCCTCCCATCAGCAGCACTGAAGTGTCGAGAATGTGCTGGGCAGTGGTGGGAGCACAGGACCCTGTCCCTCTGGGTGATCAGTGGCAGTGCTGTGCTCACGCCCCAGGCCCTGCACGACCTCCAGGTCTGCAGGGAGGAGAGCTCAGCCCTGTCCTGTCTGCTTGGT